AAGCGTAAAAGTGTCGCGAAAAATTTCCAATAAATTGCTGGAAAAAATTAAGGAATAATAATATGTTATGGTATATATGTCAATATGATCAAGGAAAATACGATTCAGCAATAAAAATAGAATCACTAGAAACCTAAACCAGTATTCAGTAAATCACTCATGTATTTTTAATATAGTCAAAGGCAAACATCAGACAAGTAAGAAATAACTAAATAATTTTAAAATGTAAAATGTTAACAACAGAATGTCAGAATTACAATTGCAAAATTTACAATGTTAACAAATATTCGACATGTATTTATTTAATTGCAGTACTATTGTCAATGTCTGGGCAAATCAGTTAAGTTTGAATCAGTAATACCACGGTCAATAGAACCACAGAGTACGTACATAGTACACACAGATGTCTCAGTGATTCAAGTTAATTTAGGATTTTTCCATCAATCATCATCGTTAATCAAGGATTTTTCCAGTATACGCCGTGTTCTTAGGAAGTGCCCTAACGAGAGGTATAGTCAACCCCCTGAAAACATATTGAAATTTAAACACTTATTTTCGCGAAAACAATGTAAATAAATATTTTAGGGTCTTCGTTTTCGTAGTACGAAAACAAAGATGGGTCTTCGTTTTCGTAGTGGGTCTTCGTTTTCGTAATTACGAAAACCCATCTTAGGTCTTCGGTCTTCGTTTTCGTAGGTCTTCGTTTTCGAAACACCCAACCTGTATAGCAGAAATGGTTAGCATACTGTTCTTTGTCATTAATTTAAGCTTGTTACTGTCGGTCAGAGGTGGGATATTATTGTCTTAGGGTGGGTGACTATATACCCTATGACCAACATAATGCGCACTTTTAAAACTTGTGTAAGACGAGTTGTGATTCGTTCTCTGCCGTGCTTTGAGGTTTTTCTTCAGGTTTTATATATAATAGCATCGTTACCCTATTCAAGGCATGCCTCCCACTATCTAAGCTGCATTTCTTGAAATTTAGCACACAGCTGCGACAGTCTAATTTTTCTCTAAATAATAAATGCTATTACTTTTTATTGTATTTTTGGTTAATAAGGAGGGACTGTTTGGAATGTAAGGTAAGGGCCAAGCCCAAAGTTTAACAAAGGCATGTTATCAAAATTGTCCAAAATCAATGAGCACAGTTACTGACATTTTCATATTTACTTCTTACTTAACAGGTAAGGTCTTCCAGTAAAGGTAGTGTGGTTCGCTGGAACCCTGAGAAATTTCCCAGTGATACAAGAGATGATTAAGTAGAACCTCAAAGTGTTATTTTGCTGCCTTACCTTACGTGTAAATAATAAACGGTTTTCGAATTAATTTCATAGTAAATTAAAACAGCACAATCGCAGTTAAATTGCTTTTATTATTTAGGCCACTTTTAGGTGTACTTGTTTTTTAGGAAGAAAACAATTCCAATCTCATCAGGATATATTTTCTCATATTTTCCATCTGAAATCGAACTAAAATTTCCCCAGTACCTGGATTCAATGTGCTTCTTGGAAGTGATGGATTGATATAATATTTTATAAACACTTGTGTTGTCCTCCAGCCCTGGGAGAGGAGCTAGAATGGGGAGCCAGATCGAGGGGATAGAGCATACGGATACCCCGGGGTTGTACCCACAGCCCAGAGATGGCCTGATAGGTGCATAATATATATATATATATATATATATATATATATATATATATATATATATATATATATATATATATATATATATATATATATATATGTTATTTACCGGATTGGAGGTCCATATAGAGAAATATTTCTCGAGGTCTTAAAAACGGCCTGAGGCCGAAGGCCGAGGGACGTTTTAAAAGACCGAGAGAAATATTTCTCTATGCAGACCGACCATACCGGTAAATAATATTTTTAATTTTTTTTAATTCCTCCTCTGGATTTCCCCCAATCACTCCTCCCGCACGCGAATGAAGCTGCCAAATAAAACGTCGTTTCTATCAATGCTATCGGGAAGAGAAATATCTTTTGTAAGATAGTAAAATTCGTTTTCACTGTGTTTTTCATCGTCTGCAGACATTTTAATGTTTTAAAAAGTAGCCTTTAAACTCGTCTTTAAATTTTGAAAAATAAAAGCATTGGCTCTACGGCTTTAAATCTCGCGCGGTCTGTACGGGCTCATACGGACCGCTCACGTAGCCAATCAGATTGCAGAAAAGCGTAAAATATGACTTCGGATCGCAAGAAAAAAATAAAAGGCCTTATTTTATCAGACACATAAGCATTTCAATAACTAATTATATAGAGTAGAAAATTTATAGTCCTTTGAAAGATAGTTTGAAATTACTTCAATTTTTAAAACTCGGGGTTTAGTTTTAACTACACTTTTATTTGGCCTTATTCTAAATTTGCCACCACGACTCCATGAGTTTCATAGCAAGATTATATGCTAAAATTTTCCTCCCTCAGCCCTACACGAATTCAGGATATATATTTACATAAATCTTCCAACTCTTTTACCTGTATGGCCGTATAGTATTGGCTGATCGCATTATTAATCCCCCCCCCCCTATTGAGGACATGTGGAATTTCCAATGGACCCCTGCAAAATTGAACCAAAAATGAAGGAATTTCCATGGGAGGATTCAAATTTTAAAGCAGATCTGCCGAAATTCCATAGGGTAGGTAAGAAAAATGAGTAAAACGTATGGAATTTCCATGGAAGGGTTAACAATGGAAAAGAAATTCCAAAGGATAAGATAAAAATCAGCAAGGAATTTTCCAAGGGATAGCTACAAATCAAAGAATTAATACGGAATTTCCACTGGCTAGATCAAAAACTCTCAAGGAATTTCCATGGGATGGGTTAAAAGTTCATAAAAAGTTTGCGGAAATTCCATGGGCATGGCTAAAATTCAATAAAAATCTGCGGAAAATCCACAGGGGAGGCTAAAAATTTGCTTAAAATATGTGGAAATTCTGGGGGATCGAGAGGGAACTAAAAAATGGATGTCCTCAATAGGGGGGAAGGGGGGAGTGCGGATTAATAATGCGATCAGCCATTCTATTCCACACACCACATGAAATACCGTGCTTGAAGTCCAGAAGGCGAACTTCCATGCACAGAAGTAGTGATGATCGCTGTCTTTGCATTTCTGTCTTTGTCGGGCTATAAGATATCCTTTTGACCATAACAAGATTTATTTGCATTATCCCCGAGCCGGCGGCGCAAAGCGCCGTGCGAGGGTACTAATTCCCCCCGGCTATTTACACCCGGGGAAACGAAAGCATTAGCGAAGTCTAAAATTCATCAAATATCGCGGGCGTGGCTCACCAACGATGTTTCGGTGGGTGGTCATCCTCACTGATCTCAAAAATATGGCGGACTGTCATGAATAGCGGACACTGATTGGTTCAATTTAAAGTTTGCATTATAACGACTGCATGACGACAGCAAAATAGCAAACATTTCTTGATTTGATGATTGATAAATTTCTTGCAAATATATTTCATTTTTGCTCGCATTTTGGCAGGATTTTATAAATTTCCGAAGCTCTCTCTCAGAAAGAAACTGTGAAAGAATTGGCCAAAAGAAAGGAGCCGACGTTAACGAAGGTAAGTTAGTTTTAAATATTGATTTTATAATGGCTTTAAAACTCGACGGCCTTTGCGTATGAAATAACTAACAAGACAGCATATATTTAAATTTCATTGTATGTTTAATATTGATTCCATTTTTTATGATATTCAAATCTTTTAAATAAAAAAGAAAGCAAAGTTATTTGCAAGCGAAAATTTGAAATCATTTTATTGCAAACTCAAAGTTTATCGATAAAGCCATTTTAAAAGGCAGATTAGTTTTAATATAAAGAACACTAGTGACTAAAACGTTTTGCGAAGCGTTTGTGGCTGAATTTTACCTTAAATTGAGGCTTATATTACGTATAACATACCTAACAAATATATATAAATATATATATATATATATATATATATATATATATATATATATATATATATATATATATATATATATATATATATATATATATGTTGGGAAATTAGTAATTTTGTAGTTAAAGTGATATTTTCAGGCGATTTTTTCATTTGTAAGAATTTTGAATATTCTTAAAAAAATATCGTGTTACCATGACAACTACTTTAGATACTTCATGTTCGGAAAATACAATGGTTTTGTAAGCAAGGCGAGGGTTTCTGCATGCATGTATTTTCTAGTATTTGTTGAATCCACAACGTCGTACAAAAAGCAGTATTCAAAGAAGCAGTATTCAAAGTGTTCATATCTATACTTTAGTAAAATTCTTGAATTTTCCTCAAAATTTAGGGTTATTTATGGATAATTTGGGTAAATATTGGCAGGAGCATTCTGGATAATTTGGGTAAAAATTGGGCAACTCATTAATTGGGGCGAGCCTGAGCGAGCCCCACAGTGTGGTGGCTCATCGAGCTCAAGCGCAATGCATTATGGTTGGTCGTACGTACGTACATGGAACTTTTCCTACAGTGATTTAAATCCTACCGGCCTTTTACCTCGCACCGGCTATTTTGAGAACTTTCAGTCCTACACTGCAGTGACTTACAATTAATTTTACGGGCCTTTCGCCTCTCACCGGCTGACAATTTTTCATTTCAACGCTTCTATTTGCACGACTGTAAATGTTTTGTTTACATGCCGTGCATGTATGTATGCATCTGCTATTTTTAGCACGCGTGCCAAAAACCATGCATTCAACCATTTCTATATTATTTATTTCAATATTTCATGCGTGAAAGATTGAAAAGATTGTGATTTCAATTAACGTGTTTAATGTTTTAACAAAATATCAAATATAAAGGCTGTTCCAAACGTCGCATTTTACATGCGCTGAATGCATTCAAAACAATGGATGAGGCATTTCAGCTATGGCGCGGTAGATTGGACAAATCGATGATTTGTCTAATAGATGATCATGTGCACATTTAATACGATGACTGTACACGTTTAATATGATTACAGTGTACATTTAATATGATACTGATCCTTTGATTTGATGATCGTACACCTTTGATTTGACGATCGTACACCTTTGATTTGATGATCGTACACCTTTGATTTGACGATTGTACATCTTTGATTTGACGATCGCACACCTTTGATTTGATGATTGTACACCTTTGATTTGATGATTGTACACCTTTGATTTGACGATCGTACACCTTTGATTTGATGATCGTACACCTTTGATTTGACGATCGTACACCTTTGATTTGATGATCGTACACCTTTGATTTGACGATTGTACACCTTTGATTTGATGATTGTACACCTTTGATTTGACGATTGTACACCTTTGATTTGACGATTGTCAACCTTTGATTTGATCGAAGGCCCGTGAACTTTTAACAGCTGTTGTACAAACACAACCATCTAGCGCTTCAATTTTGGCAAAATGGCGTCCCCAAAAGATATTTTGCGGGATTGTGCTAAATGCCATGGGCGTACGGGAAGCAAAATATTAGTGGAGCGGAAAGAAATTTGCCCGACTTTTTCGGATTGTGCCCGAGTTGTCAAAAAACTTTTTCCGGAGAAACTTTCCAAAAGTGTTGTCGACGGGGGGGGAGAGCTTACGAAAATTTCCTATTAGATAGCATATTCCCCACAAAATTGACAGAATTTGTCCTATTTATTTTTATAATAAGCCAATATTGCCCGACTGTGAAGCGAATATTGCCCGACTGGCTTTGTTTGCCCAACAAACTGGGGGGGGGGGGGCTGCCGCCCCCCTCGTCCGGTACGCCCATGTTAAATGCTAATAACATTTTAAGATTTATACAAGGTAAGCGATTATTAGTGTATTTGCTATCATTCAATTGTTTATGTGAAATTCTTTAAGGTGATGACTATTGTTTATACACGGAACAATTTTTAATGCAAATCGTTGTGCCGGAAAATTAAAATTCCAGACGTCCTCTATGTTAAAAACGACGTGACGTAAGCATTTCTAAGATCTATTTAACTTAGAATTGATGTACAATGTTCATTACGGTCTTTATGATTTTCAAGTTTTGTGAATACATGATCGCGTAAGCAGTTTTGCTTAAAATGTCTACATTTTGATTCACTAAATGTAAGATAGTGCTCAACTATCTAAACCTATTAAACAGTAGGTTGGCTTACCTCAAAATCTAGAGTAGCCTTAATTCTCTGGCCTGGAAACCCAACCCGAAATTACTGGTAGCTAAACCTGTCTCACAGAATCTAGACCTTACAGAAGGCCAAAAAACCACCGCCACGCCACGTCATGACGGTCATCAAAATGCACTCGCCATGTTCCTAGCCAGTGCGCTTACGAGAGGCATTCACCCCCTGACCATCTGCCATTTTGAACATTTTCAACGGTTACGGCAAAATATTACCAGCGAAATATAGGTAAAAGCCTGAAGTCGGCCTTCTGTAAGTTCTCTATTTTATTGGTAGCCAGCCTATACCATATTTGCACTATCATGATTTAGTTATTTATTTATTTACACATTGCCTCTTAGGCTTGAAGCCCACAACAGCTTATAAGGCCAGTTACTGCGGATCCATTGCATATATCCAGTGGCGCCGTGGCCGGGGGGGGGCCAGGGGGGGCCATGGCCCCCCCTACCGTGAAGACCCGTCGGAAAATTGTGAATGTTGTCGGAAATTTTTGAAAAATTGACAACGTTGTCGGAAATTGGCAAAATTTCCGACGTTGGTAAATTCGGAAATTTTTAGATAAATTGAGAAAATGGTTGATTTCCGGAAAATGTAACGAAAAATTTTGTATGTCCGGAAAAAATTTTTGACCCCTAAAATGGTACACTGACCGAAATTTTTTTGGCGACGGGGGGGTTGGGGGGGGAGGTCGCCAGAAAAATTTTTGTCGGAAATAATTTTCAAGTTTGTCGGAAAGTACAGCCCTTGCCCCCCCTCCCAAAAAACAAGGGTCCCACGGCGCCACTGCATATATCACGTCGTACTAAATATCGTACGACCTGAAAACATATAAGCATACGTAATAGCCAAGTTATTAACGACTACAATTGATAAATAAACAAACATACGGGCAGATATACAAACAAACAAACAAACAAAGACTTGACATTAAAATAACAAGGAGGAAGAACCAGAAGACTACGCCTACGGGCAGAGCGGGTGATATACACGTACTTGCCCATACTTCGTAAACCTGGTACGACTTAAGAAATCCGAAATCTAGTCCGGGAAACGATAACTGATCAAAGAACGGTAAGTTTCGTTGTCCAGGTTCACCCATAGAAATAATGGATATAGAATACGTACTCCTATATCTTTTCTCATTAAAAAATTTGTCTCCACAAAATGGCGGATTTACAAGAGTATTTTGGTTGGTCCCAGACTACTGAAACAAGGAATTTCGCACGGTTGCAGGGAGTGCGAATTGTTTTTTTTTTCAACTGCAATGTTTGCACAAATGTTCTATATCAAGACTTTAAAGGAAAACAGTTTTTTAAAAACCATTTCAGTGGGCTTTTTTACGAAAAGCAACAGTTCTGAACATAGTATATATTTTCAACGTTGTTGTGCAAGGCAAAAAAACACGAAAGATCTAGCAAATTACTCAAACTCAATAGGTATGTTCTACCAATATAATATAAATGTAGTTCAATAATCTTTTTAAACTTACACAATTACTTTTCTTTTTTTCTACGTTGCTTGGCTTGAGGCAACACATTTGAAACCATAGTTTTCGACGATTATTTAAGCGATGTACAGTTTATCGACAATGAAATATTATTGTTGCAAGAACATGAAAACACTTCGTTTACATTCGAGAAAAACTAAACCCGACGAAAAAAGAACTATCATTTTGTAATTTTATAAGATACTAGCAAAACAGGGACAGTGGTGATGTTCAGAGCATGCAAAAATGTTTCATGAGTAAATTATAGATTTGCGCGAAACTACTTTGTTTTTACAATGCTGCACGATTTTCACCGTTTTTGTAACTACACATTTGTTTTGTGTCTTCAAAGAACTTAATATTTCAAAATCTATCCTCGAACTACAAATTAGACAACAAGACAAAACATTTAGACGATGGAAAGTTAACGTAGTTTTTAGCTTTGTTTATACTTTGTAGTTTCCATTCCTAGTCAAATTTAACATGGCAAATCCACGCGCATGAGAAAAAGTGGAGACATGATTCGAGATCAAGTACGCATTCCATATCTATTATTTGTATGGGTTCATCATATCTAAATCATCATTGATTTATTTAGGTAAGATGTTGAAGTATTTTACTATTTTAATTAAACGGCCCACAATTAAATAGTAAACAGAAAACACCTGTACCTGTTTGTCTTTTACGTACGGAATTACGAGTAAACATGCTGACATCAGCAAGAACTGATAAACAAAATGGCATTATTCCTACCCGTAAAACGGAAATGAGGTATATTAACTTCTCTACTATATATACGACATGCATGGTCTGAAAACTCGCCAAAGGTTTTGTTCAATCTTTTTGGGCATTGTCAGTTTAGACAATAAACTTTTGGCATAACAAAGCAACCATCCTATACTCAAATAGCATCGCCTCGCTGAATCAGTCAACCTACTGCAGAAATATTAATAATCAAAATTTCAAAAGATTCGTGTTCGTGTATGGCCATTTAAACATAAAAAAGTAGCTCATTACGAACGCATTCAAGTTTGTCGAGTTTCCAGACCATGCATACATGTCTCGATTCACCGATGCATAATTCTTCTTTCACCAATTTTTGTACGCACCAATTTTTCAGTGATCAATCTTTGCAGTGATTGGCTCCACGAAACCATTTCAAAGAATTTCCATTTTCGGCCGAGATTTTCACTTTTCTTCGAGAATTCAAACGCCTCCCGCATACAGTTCATTCTTTCTTTAGGTTGGTTTTCCGAACATCGGAAACTGTAAATCGACTTGACCAAGTTGAGCTGGATTTCGCGATAATGTGTGGGTTTGCACTTTGATTGCTCAATGGCCATTATACTAGAGTTGGCCTGACTCAGTCGGCTGTCGTCAACATGTTCATCGACCAACTCTCCAGAAAGGTGACAGCCAAGGTGAAACGTTGCAAGATTGACATGACCCTTGTGCTCCAGGTCTGCGCCTACCTCAGGATAATCCAACATAACTTGTTGGAGGTGTTGCAGAGCGTTGTGTGACAGCACATCCGGAGGACACAAATATATATCAAAAAGGTCCATTATCGTCCCTGCAAATAAATATACTAGCGCTGTAACTAAACCTGGTGAAAGCCAATCTGCCTTCGCCAAAGCACCGACCAGTAAAACGCGGATACGGTTAAGATTTCCGTTAGGCCGAGTAACCTCAACACGTTCACATAGCCCTAGCACTTCAAACATACGATGTTCTGTAGCATTTGATAGAAGTTTGTCGTACTCGTCGAGCAATTTATCTGCAGTCTTAAAATGTTGTTTTCGGGAATGCGCTATAATTTTGTTCAACAACACAACTAAATCAAGCTCGACAATATCTGGAAACCTTTGTTTAATTTTCTTCGACATATCCCGAAATCCTTTCAAATCCCCGCCATTGTTTAAACAATTCGCTAGAATACAAAATGCTTCAGTACAAAGTTTTTGAGTCTTTTTTGAAATCCATGTAATGCTTCTGCCAATTGCACTGGGGACCAACTCAACCTCGACAGATCCCAAAATGATTTTCTTCCAAGAAGTGAACGACATCTTGTTAACTTCCCCCTCCACCATTTCATAACATTCTGGTTCCTCGGTGAACACACCACCAAGACAAGGAGCGATATAAATCACGATCACATAGGTTGACGGAATAGGCTTGGAGTTTTCATCTACTACTGGCTCGAAGAAAATATCCCAGTGTTCTCCTAGATTGGGTTGATCAATATGCTCAGGCCATATCATCTTCTTGATGGCTTTCTCGACTTTCTTTCTTATTTCACTGATGTCTTCATTCGGGATCTTTTCTCCCGCAACAACGCCATCGTCTGTGATACCATAATAAATGTGACCTCCGTTATGGTTGGCAAACGCAGAGACATAAACAGTTAATTTGTTATTTATCATACGTTGTGCCAACTTGGTGCAATTTTTAGCACCTGCTTCCAATAACTTAAGTTGAATTTGCTTGTCTTCCGTAAGATTGCAAAACGTGTGTCTTACAAACGATTTGTGATGTGAACCGAGTTGGACTGGTTCAACAATGTACTGCCTGTTCAAGATATTGTCCTTGATATTTTCTGTGGAAGAAACTGAAAGTACTTGTGTTGTACTTGGTAAATATAGGTTGTAATGAGTTGTGATGAAAGACTCGCTTTTCTTAACTGCGCACACGACATTATTGCAATCAATTTTCGTGTCTAAATTTAAAACAGTCACTTGCGTTCCAACGATATTTGTATACGATTGTTCGACGATTCGAAGGAGTGAATTAATACGTTTTGCGGTATTCTTTTGCACTTTATTAAAACTGAACTTAATTTCTCCACCACTTCCATTCATCAGCGCACAAAGATAAGCTACTATTTCCTTCAGCACTCGTTCTTTGTACTTTTTATCGGAAAGAAATTTCCCTAAGTCGATGTAAAGCTCCAAGGTATCCATGTCTTCCGAAAACGTGAAGTACAAAGGCAAAGACTATAATTGAAAGCCAGCTACTCCACCCGAGTTGTTATTCAATAGCGCCTATACAATGTTAAGAGAAAACTCGAATGTAAGAAGAACCTATCGATAGTCCATGAGAATTTCGTGAGAAAAAGGAAATTTTCTCAATTCGGAAGTTTTGTTTCAAGAGGACTACTGTTTAGTTCAAGTTTTCGCTTTTTTAAAAGGTTTTACTTACCAGCAAGGCATATTTTAACATATATATCTTACCCTGAGTGCATGACCAAAATCTTACTCTGGGGAGACTATACTGGGAAGCCTACATAAATTAAATCTTACTCTGGGGAGCCATACTAGCCTAGTCTTGACAACATATGCACTGCATACTAGACTTACGCCGTTTACGCAGCCTACACTGCAGGCTATATATTGGGTGGCAAACAGAAGAACCATTACAGCAGGAGAATTGTGCAATATTTTATACCGTAAGAAGGGGGATACAGGGGATCGAGAGGGATAATTGTGCAGTCAGGAAATAAAGTTTTCATTACTGCCATGCCCCTCGCCTTCCCAATAAAAATACACCGTTTTTATATGAATTCTGCCTGCTAACACACGGTTTGCTAAAGACGATTGAACTCATTACCTATGGTAGTCGACACCGCTGTCAAACGTCTGCGTAATGATCGTACCGGCGAACTTACGAAGTTCTACGAAGTCCATATACGAGCACACGACAAAATCAAGTCCTAGTCTACTCTCATAGTAAGGATAACTTTAACATGTAAGGTCATTGACTACGATTTGAACATAATAACCTTTTTAAAACTCTTATAATAATAATTGAAGGGTCTTATAGATGGAAACAGCTGGGTCGCTGGCAGGAATCGTGTGAATTTTATCGTGTGCTTGTATGAGCTTCGCAGAACTTAGCGAACAACAACGGTCGAAATGTAGTTACAAGTGCTAAATCATAAGTATTAACCAATCAAAACGATACGTTAAATATGGCGTGATATACTCATGCTAGAAATAGCCAATCAGAGCTACGTCGCACCCACCCCGAGAAAAATAAAGGCCTGACTTTCGTCTGTATTTCAGTGTTTTTATATTATACTTTGTTGCTAATATTCCCTGTTATCGCTTACGATAAAACATTTTATAAAGAGCGAAAGAACAAGCGCCGCATCCGCAACACTAAAAATTTAAAGAGGGCCACAGCCGCAGCACTCAAACGAGTAAAGTCCGTTCTCCACTAGGCGAATAGGCAATTCCAGCTTTTAGTTTATGCCTGCAGGGGATGATGGGAAGCAAGGTATCATATTGCCAATTATGCTGAAAAATTTCAACAAAAACTACCGAAACAACCGAAATATTTAAATATTTACAAGTATAAGCTATCACTCCGTGTTTACACGGCCACCATATTTATTTTTTCAGCATAATCAGCAATATGATACCTTACTTCCCATCGTCCCCTGCATGCATAAACTAAAAGCTGGAATTGCCTATTTGTTCGCGCGAACAGTAAAAAAGTAGGAACTGCTCCAACTTTTTCGAGGGGGATTTTTTCGCTGACCAATCACATTGCCAAGATTTATTTTTCGCTTCGCGTCGATCGCGCGAAAAAATTCGCCTAGTGAAGAACGGGCTTTTAATAAGAAGAGCAAACCTACACAAAAAAAACATTAATAATGAGAAATACTGTTCTTCTATCGAGTCTTCAAAACTACGTGTTACGGTATTAAAACAATTTGCACATGAATAATTTAAATGCCATGGGAATCAACATAGCAACCATGCATATATAAACATTGCCGGACTTTGAACCATAACAAGCCCATGCAGCCAGCACGTGAATTTCGCACACACTGTAGGTTTGTTATATATGATGAAAAACTGATCAACTACTTACAAGTCTACATACAGTAATACTCTTTCTATACCACTTAAACTAAAGTAAGCTACTTTGTCGAGTATGTTGTATAAATCGCATATGATATTATGTCTATATGTAAATATAGTGCCACATGCCTTGGTTTTACTATATACAGAATCAAACGGCAGCAGCTGAAACGAATTATTAATCCTGCTATAATCCATGTTACATCTATGGAAGGTATCTTAAAGGCACATAACTTCATTAAATGCATTAAGAGACTGAGACAAGACTAAGTGTATAGATTTAGGAGACATTTACTAATAAATACATGAATACAAACCTGCTCTCACTGATACAACTACGGCTACGAGTCTACGACAATGAATCGGTGACACTGGACGATCCGTATGAGTATTTACATACCTTTTATCAATCTGACGTTAATCACTTATCAGATACACAGACACAATGGGAGTACCAATATTTGAAAGCATAGATATATACGATATGTGATGATTCCGTTTACGCAGCTATTTCGATGAAATATGACAAAAACAACTTTATTTCGCTGTGAATGGAGCCCTAATTAAGTTTAAATTATTATTGGGGAATTCCCTATATACGAACTTTAATATCGGAACATTTACCAAATTCGAATTTCATTTGGTAAATACATAAAAATATATAAAATCTACAGTTGGAATAGAGTTGATTTACCATTTGGATGAAGTAGGGACCAAACAATGAAACAACAGCCTAGTTCATCGATGTAGATAATCTTCGAGTTAAACCCTTCTGTCCGGAAATGGGAAACCGAAAGTAATAGATTACTTGACGTCACATCGTATGATGCAAGTTGCTCCATTTACTGTTCGAAGTACTCCGGATTCTCGGAACACTAATGGAATGGAACAGAAGACAGTCACGGGGTAGCAAATCTTCGAGTTAAGCCCCTCGAGTTAAGCCCTTCGAGTTAAGCCCCAACCACGCCCTTTCGAGTTAAGCCCCGACCACGCCCATATCACGCCCATGTCACGCCCATTTCCGTTGAGGGCTTAACTCGAAGTACATAACTGGAGTTAGGTACTTCGAGTTAAGCCCTCTAGAAAATAGGGGCTTAACTCGAGCAAAGTCAAACATTCTGTTCTTCGAGTTAAGCCCCAGCGTTTGAAAGATGCAAACGAGTTACGGTTAATCTGATCCCAAACAAATTAAAGAATCATTTGGATCGCGTTTCGTTCAATCACGGTTTAATACGTTTTATTTCAGCCGACGTATTATATATATTAGGGACTTTAAAGATTGAAGTTTACGGGAAACTGCTAACCGCAAACGGCGAATTTCAAATCGTAATTTGAAGTCAACTGTTAGCTGTTCGGGGTTAGAGCAACTTGTGAATAAAGATTGACCTTATCTCCGGCAAATTAAGGTCAATCTTAAAATATTATCAAATTTTATACCGGTGTCTCAAAAAAACACCAGACTCTGTTTGATTTCACGTAACGTAAAAGCTATGATAAAAGCTATCGCAATGAATTAAAGATCATTGCATTCATAATAGACTAACTTATATTTTGATTAGCAAATAATCATGAACGTGTCATTTTAAAATGAGCTCAGGGCTGGTTTACAAGACGTTTATGATAACTATGCATACGCAGGTAATTTATTGAAGTTCAATTCATCAACTTAAGTCCTAAAGAGTAAAGGGAGTTAATTTTCAACAGTTTTAGACCCAATTCTCAACGTGGAAATATGCACTTTCGTTGGAAATATGCACTTTCACATTATATGGTTCTTACAACTATTCCAGTCTTCATTATATGAAACGATTTCATTAGACTGCACACATTTCAAAACGGAAAGCGGTCGCAAAATGTCGATCGCTCCACAAACTGCGTAATGCAAATCTACCTTATATTAAATACCGGGTGTCTCAAAAAAACTGGACAGTATTTTTGACTTCATGTAACGTAAAAGCTATAAAAGCGATAATGCATTCAGAAATGACTAACTTCGATTTTGATATATAATATTGACTGCGCTATTGATGTTAATTTAAACGTTGAACTAATGTTTTTGAAAATAACAAAAATTAGCATACAGTAAAACAACACTTATAATTATATATACTGATGCAGTTATAATTGTTAAATAATGTTTTAATTTTGGTTGTATCTCGCACAATATTGCATGTAAATTTAAGTGTTTTATATATCAAAATCTAAGTTAGTCATTTATGAATGCAATGACCTTTATTTCATTGCGATAGCTTTTATAGCTTTTACGTTATATGAAATCAAACAAAGTCCGGTGTTTTGTGGGACACCGGTATAAAATTTGATAATATTTTAAGATTGACCTTTACGGCAGAAAATGTCAATCTTTATTCCTTTATTAATAGATAAAAGTAGCTGATTCATAGTCCAATTTTTATGCACAAGTTCAGTTGCTCTAACTTCCAACATCTAACAGTTGACTTCAAATTACGATTTGAAATTTGCGGTTCGCCGTAAACGTCAATCTTAAAGTCCCTAATATATATAATACGTCGGCTGAAATAAAACGTATTGAACCGTGATTGAACGAAACGCGATCCAAATGATAATTTAATTTGTTTGGGATCAGATTAACCGTAACTCGTTTACATCTTTCAAACGTTGGGGCTTAACTCGAAGAACAAAATGGTTGACTTTGCTCGAGTTAAGCCCCTATTTTCTAGAGGGCTTAACTCGAAGTACCTAACTCCAGTTATGTACTTCGAGTTAAGCCCCCAACGGAAATGGGTGTGGTATGGGCGTGGTCGGGGCTTAACTCGAAAGGGCGTGGTCGGGGCTTAACTCGAAGGGCTTAACTCGAGGGGCTTAACTCGAAGATTTGCTACCCCGACAGTCACATGCTGGTTCTGAACTGTTATGACTATGTACCTGATTTTCGAGTAGGGGCAGCCAGAATAGACACGTGACACTGCCTATTTTCACGTGATTGGAAATGGAGGCGACATATTTTGTGTATCCAACGCTTACTGCATAGAGCGTTATTTTGAAGGATAAACCGCTATATATATCGACATATATACTTATTATATGCTATTTGAACGCCAGGGTTGGGCAAAATCAACGAGTAAAAACGTTGCAAAAGCACGCTTAGATAGTTAGATGTACAAATAACAGCGAATCATTATACGCTTTATTATGCGAATAACTAATTAATATAGTAATGCATGGTTGCACGCATGTATAATAAATTAAACTACAGGGTGAGTAAAAAAAACTGATATCTTCGCGGCTAATTTGAATAACAAAGGTGTCAGGGTTTTTTTACTCACCCTGTATACACTCAGATCGAGTAACATCACAAGCATCTTATTCACCTGAGTACATTACACTAACACAGCAAACTAAACACTGTTCCAGAACACCGTGTGCACTCCATTTTATATCGTTCCAGAACAGTGTTCCAAATGTTCTAGAACAGTAAATGGATTAGCCTGATGGTGTGTGGTGTTGGTTTACATATTTTTATACACTTAATTATATATTCTTTTGGGTCGACGACCTAGCTCGATTTGTAAACGCAGCGAAAACCAACCGAACAATGACGGCGCAGAGCGAGAAATCGATAATAGAGACCTTAAGATTGACGTTTACGGCAAACGTCAAACCGCTAGCGAAGTTTTTGATTTTACAGCTCTATTATTGTAGCTTTTACACCAGTTTTGAAATATGTTAAACTGATTAAACTTCTGCTCTTTAGCAATGATTTAAGAAAGAAAATTAACCACTAGTCATGCCATTTACCAAAGCAGTAAATGAAGATTTGGCGTTTGAAGTTGACGTTTGACGTATAAATTTCATGCTTTAACGACTACAAGCCCTCGTAGCAGTTCAAGCATGAAATCTATACGCCAAACGCCAACTTCAAACGCCAAATCTTAATTTACTGCTTTGGTAAATGGCATGACTAGTGGTTAATTTGCTTTCTTAAATCATTGCCAAAGAGCACAAGTTTAATAAATTTAACATATTTCAAAACTGGTGTAAAAGCTATTATAATAGAGTTGTAAAATCAAAAACTTCGCTAGCGGTTTGACGTTTGCCGTAAACGTCAATCTTAAGGTCTCTAATAACGGTATAGAACTCACTTCTCCTCTGGATCGAAGACAGTCGAAGACAGGAGGTGTATTAAAACTACAGAAAACTATTTGCCCCCGAGCCAACGGCGAGCGCCGTTCCGGGCGTTAGCCCTGGGCGAGGGTACTAATTCCGTCCGGCTATTTACACCCGGGGAAAGGGAAGCATTAGCGAAGTCTAAAGTTCATCAATGATCGCAGGCGTGGGTCACCAATCGTGGGTGGTCATCCTCACTGATCTCAAAAATATGGCTGTTTGCTAGGAGTGGAATAAGCAAGATTTCAATTTTTAAAAACATGTATTTGGAAAATCACGTTTCACACAATGAACTTTAATTAAAGCAATTTTTGTTTGAAGAAATGAGAAGAATTGATTTACTGTGGGAAATCGTGAAATGTAGGGCAAGTTTGCTTTGAATGTTTAATAATGTTGCTTTAATTAATTATATTGCGTAAAACATGCACTGCTTTCCTTTTAAATGAAGCTGTATTAAAGTTTGCTAAATTACCCTGTTTAATTTAAGAAAAATGGGTAAAATGTTAAGGAGGGCAAATTAATTTGAAAACCGAACTGAAAATGTGACTTACTCGATCAAACGCCTTGGACATATCCAATATACTCAAAGACCTCAATGAGCTGTGTCACACGAGTCACGACTTCCGAGGAACAAAGCCATGTTGACCATTATTAATCTGTTCGAAAACGTGGTCTTTGATCTTATTGAACACGCATCTTTCCAATGCTAGTCCGTGAGCTAGTGCCGTGAAACGTTTAGTTTCATTGTACACATCGCTAAGCTAAAAAATACTTACATATTCTTATAGATTTAAACACGCTGAATCCAATTCAAAAAAGTTCTTGTCGATAAACCCGGCAGTTTTTTTGTAAATTGCAATCAAAATCACAGGGGGCCCACTATGATTGAAATAGTATTGTATTTATTTTTAAAAACCTACTTGAACCCCTTGATAATCGATTATTTCTTCTCTCGAAGTTCTGTATACATTTTAAACTGCTTGGAGTCATTATACTATCACTCTACATGACGTTTCACGAAGTATAGATGATCGCTGACAAGTAAGGACGCGGGCACAAAAAGACGAAGGCGGCGAAAGAAGGGAGAATTAAACTAAAGAGTTGAAACATCGGCGAGTCATCGTTTGATGTGTTCCATATAAGTGGGTTGTTCTCCGCCAAATTCGCACGGGGCCCCAATGTGAGTTAGGATTGAAATAATATTGTATTTATTTTTAAAAAGTACTTGAATCTCTTGATCATCGATTATTTCTTCTCTCGAAGTTCTATAAACCTTTTCAACGGCTCGGACTCATTATACTTGACGTCACGAGAACAACCTACTTATGGAACACATTGTGCGAAAAAACGCTTCAAGTGTTTCATGTAAAAACATACGAAAAATCAATCGTTTATTGAATCTACTGCATCAGTTGTGAAGATATGTCCAAAAAGGCATAGAATCTGAAAAAAAATTCGAAAACACAAATAAATTGTGAATTTTAGTTTAATAGACACTTCCCGAATTTGCTTGAGTGCACACGAAACAATAGCTTGGAATCGAGGAGGACAATGTAATCCATTGGAAATAAGTATAGTTTTCCAATGGATTACATTGTCCGCCTCGATTCCAAGCTATTGTTTCGTGTGCACTCAAGCAAATTCGGGAAGTGTCTATTCTCCCTTCTTTCGCCGCCTTCGTCTTTTCGCGCCCGTGTCCTTACTTGTTAGCGATCATCTATACTTCATGAAACGTCATGTAGAGTGATAGTATAATGACTCCAAGTAGTTTAAAATGTTTACAGAACTTCGAGAGAAGAAATAATCGGTTATCAAGGGATTCAAGTAGGTTTTTAAAAATAACTACAATATTATTTCAATCATAACTCATAGTCGGCCCCCCTGTGTCAAAATCTTAAAATTTACGAGTTTCGCAATAGCATTTTACTATATGCCATACGTCAAAATTTGCGTACTCTTGGAACCAGTCACTCGCGCGCCATAGTGAAAATTATACAGGATAGGTCACTTCCGCCTACTCTTGAGATATGTGAATTTAGATTTGATGTAACAATGAGCAACACGATTTTCAAGTTTCATATATTATTGCGACAAGGCGTATTTTCTGGCTTTGTACGAAGATATTTAGCAACACCAGGCATTCTTTCAAGATTATGAACTTATGTGTACACTATTTCATCTTTATGGCGTGTAATAATTAATAAAGGACGAAACAAACTTCAATTTCATATTTTGAAGACAGAATAATGGACATACTATAGTATTTGGATATTTGGATGGTAAACCAAAAACTTAAATCATCATCACAATCCAATGCCTCCTCATCAAAGTCATTGACATTGTCAATTAGCTCTTCATCTATCTCACTGTTCTCAGAATTGCTGCATTGGCAAAGTTCAGTGCACTTCAAATTTGCTTAAAAACATGAGCATCTTTTTGTTTAACAAGCCTTTTTGCATTTGCAGCTAACAAATTCTATAAACTAAGATGCTGTTGGATGTCTAGAGCAGGCCCTTGGATTCCCCATGTACAAGGGTGGAAAAAGTATCAGACCACGGGACCAAAAATTTGTAACCAATAGAAAGAATGTTACCTGTTCTGTAGGAATGAGCTCAGAAATGCATCCATCTTCATTCATAGTGTGCAGTGTATAAATATATAGATTATAGAGTGATGTAACAAATGTTGCATGGCAAATGCATTTTTAACCAATCTGGGGCACTTGATTTTTAAAATATTCTGGGGAGCATTGTCTCCTTTATAGCTGCTCTTTGTGTCGAGGTTTCTCCCCATGAGCGACTGCTCACTTGAGCGCAACATTCCATTACTTTTGTCTTACGTATCAATATCACTATCAGTTCTGTGCTTTCCACATTTTCACATTGGCATAATTCTGTGCATTGTAAATCCGCTTTCCATGGCCGGAGTTTGAGGGGAGGTGAGCACCTCCCCTGAGATCGTTTTGCACCTCCCCTGAGAATTTTTGCACCTCTCCTGAAACGTCATATGCATCTCCCCTTCGGGAAGTTTCAATGATAGATCAAAGTGAAAATTTGACATTTTTGGTTGGTTAGAGTCTACATTTTGTAAGAGAGGTTTTTCTGTAAAATAATGTTCTGTGATAGCCATTCATCTCTGTGTCAAGGGGGGGGGGGGGTGAATAGGGGTACACAAATCCGCCGATCCGCGCAAATTTGAAGCAAAATCCGCGATCCGACAATGGTCTTGTCTAAATTTGAATCCGCTAAAAGCTCTACTATGAAGTCACAATCCAGCATTCGAACTAAATTGCAAGCTAAATCCACAATCCGAGCCAAAATATTAGATAAATTCGCAATTCGCTGTATTAATAAGATCCGCAAATCCGTGTAAAATATTCACCAGCTCCGAAATCCGAACAATTTTTCTGTGAAATCCGACGATCCGAAACTCGGACTCGAGAAAAACCCGGACTCAGAAAAATATACGGATACGAATAAAAAAACTTTTGACTTTTGAAAACCCCAACTTGAAATAAATAAAACCTTGATAAAACCGGATTCGAGATAAGGACTCTGTTGCACGAGACTGCAACGGTTTTTTGCCAAGGTTTAATAAATAGAGAATAATACATGGGTGCGCGGAAATACCAGATTTATTTCGAGTGTTGAACATGATATCATGTTCAAC